GGGGGGGGGCACGTACGATGAACAGGCAGTTGAGGGTGTTGAGGGTGGACACAAGGCGGCGGTGCTTGTCTGTGGAGTATGGGAGGACAGGAGAGACCAGAGAGACAGCCATAGACACAACCAAGCACACACACACAGGCACCGCATACACACACACACACACACACACACACACACACACACATGCATGCACACACACACACACACATAGAGTAAGTACCTCCCAATACAGTATCGCCCCTACCCCCCCCCTTCCCCCTCCCCCCCCCCTCCCCCTCCCCCCCCTCCACTTGACACATCATCTGCTCTCTGTTGAACACTTTGTTGGATGAGGCCTCTCCTCACCGGACATTATCTCCACGGACGCGCGCTGATTGCTCAGATGGCACCGTACGAGCCGTTGGTTGATGGTGACTTGGGCATGAGGTGCCCGTACTTGGCATTCATCTGCTCCCGCCGTGCGTTGGTCCGAGGCGTTGCCGAAGTTGACTTCTCCATGTCGTCCACCCAGCGCTCGTAGTCGTCCAGCAGACTCTGTGTCTTGCGCTTCGACCGCGCCCGGCACTTGCAGTACACACAGCAGCAGAGTGCAGAGAGGATGAGGAACAGCAGGCCTGCCCCGCCCACCAGCAGCCACTTGTCCGCCACAAAGCAGAAGCTCTTGCGCCAGTCGTCGCACGTGCCGTGATCCGGACCCAGGAACGATCCCTTGGAGCAGCTCTTGGTCGACTGGCACCAGCCGCACGACGAATGCGCCTTGCACGCCGTGCAGGACGTCCGCTCCGAGCAATTGAACGCTTGCGACCCAAGCCTCCCGCTCTCACTCGCCAGCATCACCTCGGCCACCACGTTTCCGTTCTTGCCGTCGTCGTCCTCCGTTGCTCGCACCTCGGCCGCACCCGCGCCAAACACCACCGGCTTGACCTGGACCTTGTCCGCCCACAACTCTGGGCCAACCTCACCAAGGTCTCTTCCGCGTTGACCACCATCCTCACCCGCCACTGCCACCGCCATCACAGCCGTCAGAAGCATGGTGGCGAGCAGCAGGTCGAGCCACAACCGCCCAGCCAGACGACGACCACCGACCAGACCAGTCCGACCACGACGGGCACCACACCCACCACCATACAACGACCACATGTGGCCACTTGCTCTCCCTTGTTGCATGCGCTTATCCACAACTACAATCTTCGAGTTGGCTGTATCGCTCTGTAACCCCCCCCCCCCCCCCCCCCCCCACCCCCAACCCGCCAACCTCACCCTTCAACCAATGTCGACCACGTGACATGCCACAGCCACTCGGCCACTCGGCCACCACCGGCAAACCGACCCATGGCCTCCGCTCAACAGCACATCAACTTGTTCACTTCACGTCTATCGCTTGCCCTTGCTCTTGCTCTTGCCGCGAGTAAACGCCGCCTCGGTCTCGCGCGCCATCGAGGAGATGACTCGGCCGTGGCCGGCGCCATCGGTGGCGGTGCCGATGTCATGGCCGACTTCGGTGAGGATAAAGGCACGAACGACGTCGCCGTAGTACACACCGGTGGCACGGACTGCCACGTCGTAGCGAGTAAAGTGGCCCATTGCGTGCGCCTTGCGTGCGTCGAGAGGAAGCCCCAGCGGCGACGGGAGCTCGGCGAGCACGTCGCGGAGCGCGTCAGGGGCAATCGGTTGCTCCAGGTCGCCGCCGGCCTCGTCGAGGAACGCCATCCGGAAGCCGTGCAGCGTCTCACGGCGGTTGTACAGCTGCACAAACCGCGTTGCCTCGCCGTAAGCTGCAAAAGCAATCGAGGTAAAGACGTGGATGCCGCCCATGAACACTGCCACCCAGTAGATGGCAAACAGTGCCACCGCCGCCCCATCGCCCTTGAGCTGGCTCTCCACGAGGAAGCCCCACGTATCGCCGGTAAAGACCCGCATAAACTGAAGCAGCGCCTGCCCAAGCGACCGGAACTCCTGGTTGTCATCGAGCCCGCGCGAGAGCGAGTGCGAGCCAAAGCCTTCCATCGCCATAAACGCAAACGGCAGGGTCATCGCCACCACGCCCGCGAGCGCAAGCACGAGCGGAACCAGCGCACGCGTCGCCACGTGGAACAGCGCCTGCATTGCCCCCGTCCGTGCCACAAGCCGCACCGTACGCAGCAGCCGGAACATCCGGAAGACAGACAGCGCCGTCGCCTCACCCTCGGCCGCCTCGAGAACAAGGCCCACAACAGAGAGGACAAGGACGCCAAAGTCAAACGTGTTCCACGACAACGGCCAAAAGTACTGCCACCCGAGTCCCACAATCTTGAGCAGCGCCTCCAGTGCGTAGAGGGCCACAAACACCGCATTGACCACAAGCAGGTGCGTGTCCCACTCGTCGGTCTGGCCCTCGTGCCGGAGCGCAAGGTACGCCGTGTTGATCACAATAATCACCGCAATCAAAATCTCAAACGCGTCCGACGTCACCATCCGGAACACCGGCGTCCGGCACGACGCGCCCGCCGGCGGCGCCTCGTACTCCTCGCTCAGCTCGGTCGAGATCTCCGTCACAAACACGCCCAGCCGCGCATCCACCACCGACGAACGCTCGTACACAGAGCCGCCCATCTCGCGTGCTACGTCCACAAATGTGTCCACAACAGCAGCCAAGAACAGCGGCGCTACAAACCAGAGCTGCACCACAATGTAAGCCACAAAGAACAGCGCGTTGGCCCGCGACGCCTCAAACTGCGCCGCAGTGTTGATCTCTTGCGGCGCGTCAATGCCCGCATACAGCACCGGCGTCCAGTCCGTCAGCGCCGTCAGGTGCAGCATCGCGTACAGTGCCTGCCCAAAGTCGTCAAAGTTGACCGCAGGCGTCACCCACACCCGCGCCTCGTTCGGCCCCATCAGCCCCTTGCACGTCTCCACGCTCGTCCGCGTAGCGTCTGAGCACTGCCCGAAACGACCCTGGAACAGCTGCAAGCCCATGAGCGCAAACGCAAAGAAGAACATGATAAACACCGCAAACGGACCCGCAAGCCGCGGAACGCCCACCTGCGCCGCACGAACCATCACTCGCACGGGACGGAGACGCGAGAGTACACGCACCAGCCGCAGGAACCGCAGCCCGCGCAAGAATCGCAGCCCGCCCACGAGCCCCAGCCCGCATCCGGCCAGCGCCACAACGTCCAGCCACGCGCTCGCGTCGCGTAGCAGCGCCGTCCGGTACGTCGCAACGCGCACCGCCGCCTCCAGCGCAAACAGCACAAAGACAACAATGTCAAGCACACGCAGCACGTCGCCCTCACTCCCGGGCTCGTCCCAGAACAGATACACGCACGCAGCAACAATGAGCACGTCCACAACCATCTCGTACCCCTGCGAGGCTACCAGCCACGCCCCGGATGCCACGCCCTCTGGCTTGGTCTTGGCCAGGTGAACCGGGACACCCACATGCCCGTCAGACCGCGGCACTGTCACCAACTCGTACAACCACCGTCCAGCCGCACCGCAGACCCCGCTGCCGCCGCCAACCTCGTCTGACGAGTACCCGAGCGCCGCCGTCCGCGTACCGTACTCGGAAAGCGATGAGAGCGACGAGAGCGACGACGACGACGAGGACTCGCGCTTCGCCGACTTGCGCCGCTTCTTCTTGCCGCCGCCTCGCTTCCGCGACGCCTCCTCCTGCTCCTCAGAGTACGAGTCCAGCTCGGACGAGTCAGCCACATACGAGTACGACTCGCTGGCGGTGCTTGTGTCACGCGCATCAGCCTCGGCCTCAGCTTGCGCACCCACAGGGTCCCAGTTGGAAAGAATGACAACAGCAAAGAGGTTGACAACGAGTAGCTTGCCAAACACAAACACAACAATGCAGAACGGCGCCCCGTACCACGGCTCCACCTCCATCGTGTCGTACAGCGTCGTCGCAAAGCCCTTGCCGCTCATGAGCACGAAAACGCTCACCAGCGACGAAAACACAGAGTCAAAGTTGGTCCGCGGAACGTCGGTCTCATCAAACCGCATCTCGTCCTGGAACAGCTGCTTGCCGATGAGCGCAAAGACGAGCGCAAACAGCGATGTGAGCACAACAAGGAACAGCGTGTTCGGCACAGACTTGTATGCACAGTGCAGCGTTGTCCGCACGTACGTCATCCACCTGCTCTCAGCAAAACAACAACAACAGCACACGGTTGGCATCAGGTAAGTGGTGGTGGTAGGTGGGGGGGGGGGGGGGGGGGGACACGGAAGGATGAAGGGATACAAAGAGCCGACAGATGCATCGTTGTAGCGCGCGACCACGTCGGCCCCGCCGCTGCCACACCTGCGCTCTTGCGAGCGGAGGGGCTGCGGCAGGCGCAGTGGCGCCCGCGTTGATATCCCAGTTGCTACATGTCAAAGTCGACGGAAAACGACAGTAACGAGCATGAACTGGTTGGGGGAAGAAAGGTGACAGGGAAAGGGGAGAGAGGGCAAGCACACAGTCACGTACCGGGCCGTCCGGGCCAGCCTGAAAATCCGCGCCACTCTAAGTGCACGGAAGACAGAGATCGAAGTTGTCGATGCAAAGAGGAGCTCAATGACCGACGCCAGAACAACAAGAGCATCAAAGATGTTGAACCGGTCACGGAGGTAACCCTTGACACCCATGGCGGCGAGCTTGACAAAAAACTCGAGGATAAAGGCACCAATGAAAATGGCGTTGGCGAGGTCGAGCTTGTCACGGTTCGACTCGCTCATCGACGCGTGCTCGAGCGCCATGACCACGACGTTGGCAAGGACAAGCGCACCAATCACGACAGAAAAAGCCACAGAATCGGTCATCCGCCGAAGCGCAGAAACAAACCCGGGCTTGTTGCTCAGGTACTCGGCCTTGAGCTTGTGCTGCGGAACCGAGAAAAAGTTGAACGCCTCGCGGTGCCGAAACTGGAACGCCCCAATCGGGTGCTCCCACCACCGCGGCGCCTCGCCGACCCCATGCGCCGGCTTGTATCGCCGCACAACCTCGGCCTTGGCCTCCGCCTGGGACGGCTCCGAGTAGAGTGTCATGTACGAGCTCGTCGACGACGCCGAGCTCGACGCCTCCTGCTCCTCCGAGTAATCAGGCTCAGAATCGTACTCGTACTCGCCGTATCCAGACTCGTAGTCGTTGTCGTCGTCGTCCGATCCGGACCCCCCACGGTGCGCCCCATGGTGGTGCCGCGTCCGGATCATGGCCGCCAGCGTCCGCGCATGGGCAATGGCCGACTCGAGCGCCTCGTCCTGCGCCCGTGCCTCGGCCTCAATGTCCACGTAGTGGTCAAACAGAGCGGCGAGCATGAAGTTGATGGCAAAGAGCGAGGAGAAGAGAACAAACGGCAGGAAGAGGACAACAGCCCAGGCAGACCACGAGTCCATGACGAAGAACAGGAGCTCGGCCCATTCATCGCCGGAGAAGACCCGGAACGCCGCAAGCGAAGCAAATCCAAAGTGGTCGAACGAGGTAAACCCGCGATCCGGGTTACGCTCTTCGCCCAGCTTGACGCACGAGACCGGGTTAAACGCTGACACCGTCGGACACTGCAGCCCGTGGCTCGGGTCGCGCGAGCACCGCACGTCCTCATCCACGATCCCAAAGCCGACGCAGTGCTGCCGAAGATTGCCCGACCACAGATTGGTCCCGTAAATTGCAAAGAACACCATCACAAATCCGATGAGCACAAGGACACGAGCAAACGTAGGGACCGCCGATAGGAACGTCTCGATGAGCACACGCAGGCCGCGCACATGCCGTAGAGTCCGCAACGTCCGCAGCACCCGAAGCCCACGGATAGCCGTCGCGTTCTTGACTCCAGGCACAAGCGTGAGCCATCCAACTACAACCACCACAAAGTCGAGCCAGTTCCACCCGTCCCGAAAGTACGCCGTCTTGTGCCGCCACACGCCTGACGCAGTGATCTTGAGCATCATCTCGATCGTGTACACCACAGAGAACCCAATCTCCAGCGCCTCAAATGTCGACTCTGAGAACCGCGACTCGAGAATGAGAATGACCACATTCGCCACAATCACAGACAGCACTGCGCGCTCAAACCACAGATTGTCCACAATCCGGATGCATGTGTACCGCAGCCAGTTGGACGGCTTCATCAACCCGCATGCCCGCGACTCGTACCGCTACACACCTCGCCAAGCCACAATCACTTTCATGTGAGAGAACCGCCCGAGCTGGGTATCATGGTCGCACGAAAAAAAAACCCCACACCCTCACATCCTCCATTCACAGAACCAAAACTGAGCGCTACGCCAGCTCGCGCAGTCAGCCCGCAGCCCCCCGCTCGCCAGTCTATGGCCGCCTTCTGCCCCCTCCTCACATTTGCTCCATCCCCCCTTTCCAAACCAGACTACGCCCCATGCCTTGCCCCCCATATTCTCACTACAACGTACCTTGTCGCGACCTACGTAGGCCGTGAACTCCCCTGGCATGGCAGTGCGGCTCGCCGGGGGTCAAGTGTTGGTAGAGCCCTGTTGATGTCGGTCGATGAATAGACTGCCTGGTTTTCTTGTGTGGCAATTGTTCGACGGCGCTGCCCGCAGTCCCACCCCCTGCTCCATCCCGCGCACATCGTTTTCGTCTCTTGCTGGCAATCTGGATTTTGGAATTGTACTCGATGCGGATTGTCTACCATCATCATGTGATAGGGGTAATCGGCAAAGGTTGATGCTGTGAACTCGGTACGATCGGATTGGGTTGTCTGGGGCTGGCCATGACCCCAAGAGCTGACCTCACGCCGCCCTATGTGCTCCGCGGCACCGACGCTGGAACGAAATTGAGGCACATCGTACCCCAGCGCCAACTCGCCAGGACGCCGTCATCGCTTTGCTCCTATGACCCGCGATATCATGGCGGTGTCGAATGTACGCTTCGAATCATGAGTCCATGCACAGGAGGTGGACACACCGAGTCCGCTCCTCGCCGCGGACGCGTACGGTGTGATCGTGGCGGCGCGAACTGCACTCGTCCGCTTTGCTTCAGGCGTATTTCTGGCGCAAGCGTGTGCTCATTGACGGTGGTGCTCCTGCGGCGCACGATGCCCTCGACGCTCCGCCGCACTGCGATGGTCGCGAATAGCCCCGCCACGTGTAAAACGACTTCCGACAAGCAAGCGTCGCGTTCAGAAGTACACGATGGTCATCATATGCTATGCTACTCTGTGATGTGTGTGGGAAGGGGACGCGCCTTTCAGGGCCTGAAACCCGAGTGGTGTCAAAAATATTGGAGAAGAGCAAGCGGTCCGCAAACGTCCACGTGGTCACCCCAACAGCCAACATGGTCGAGCGCAAACCTGCGCTCTGCAGGTTCACTATGTGCCAACGCTCATGACCTATGTGTTCTCACATTGTTGCTTTTCCGCTGGTCACAATCGTGCCGGCTGTAGGCAATTAAGCTCCACCACCAAGCTGGCGACCAGTGCTTGATGCGGGTCCGTGGACCAGCGGCTATCGTCTCGACTCCACTTATTGGCCAATAGCCTGGAAGCCACACACTCGTCAAACCTCCCCCACGTCCTCTTCACGTACATCCCCACGAACCGAGAGGGTAGCTTGCACGTACCAACACCTATACCTCCAACTCTCCAACTCTCCTGGTCCAGCACCTACTTTTGCTGCCCACCTTCCACCACCTCCACCACCACTGCGTCCATGTTTCCACTCGTCGGAGTCTGTGGCACTCGTTTGTCACTGCTGGCGTTGATGCTAGCAGCCGTGACGACAGCCTATCCATATGCAGAGGTCATGAACTACGCCCCGACGGACACTACAGATGCGTTTGATCCCTCGAGCCTATATGACACGCGGTCCTTCCATGTCACAGGAAACCATTATATCACAGACCGGCTTGGCCTCGCCACTGACATCACCGCAGATGGCTCAATCGTTGTCATTGGTGGACCGGGCACAGAGGACGCCGTTAACCAGAAAGGCGCCGTTCGCATCATGTACCGCCAGTCCGACTTGAGCTATACGTTGCACAAGATGCTCTGGCATCCGCAGGTGAGCTTGTCTGTGGCCGTAGACGCCAACTTTGGCGCATCGGTCTCGATCACGCCGGACGGGACCACCCTTGCCGTGGCCCACTTTTTCGGTCAGCGGCGCGCAACCTGGCCGGCTACGGCTGACCAAGTCTTTATCTACTATCGCGATGCCGGAGGCGCCGACAACTGGGGCCTGGTGGCGACGGGAACAACGTCATCCGTGGTTGGGCTCAAGACACTCGGCACCACGGTCTTGCTCCGTGACGACGGCCAGGTCGCGTTTGCCACAGTGCCGTCGACCGCGACGCCATCGCCGCCAGCGCCGGCAGGCACAGATGGAATGGCCTTTGGTGGTATCGACGTGTTTGGCCGGGACCACACCGGAGCCGACGCATGGGGACGTATCGCGACGCTGCTGCCGGGGACCGTTACCAGCGGAGACCCGAATCACTTTGGAACCATCATGGCATCAGTGGGCAACTGGCTCTTCACCAGTTGGCAGCTCAAGGCTGGGCTGATTCCTTTGGCTGAACATGTCCTGTCGATCTACCATGCTGCTGACGGCATATCGTACACCGAGGTCAGCCGCTTTACGGGCGCCGATCTTGGAGGAACGGGCACATTGATCCTCCCTGTCTCCTTCGCCGCTGTGGATGACCTCCTGGTTGTGTCCTGCACGATGATATCGTCGAACGCCCACGGCGGGCTTGTATTTTTGCGCAAGGATGTGTCTGACAACTGGAGCTCTATCCAAGTTGAGGCCAACCCCAATGCTGTGACTACCTACGAATTCGGGCAAGCTGTAGCGCTCTCTCGAGATCCACACTCGAACGTGTTCATGGTGGTAACGGACGGCGGGACGTCAAGTGAGATTGAGATTTTCACCGACAAGGTCACGCCATACGTCTTTGCACACGAGGCCACCGTGTCTGCGCCCGGCACACCTCCGCTGCTCACCAATCCTGGAACTACGGTCGTGGACTACGGCCAAGCGATCTCGGCGTCGTCCAACACCATCGTTGTGGGGCGGCCCACTGTGGGTCAGGGGGGTTCATTGCGTTCCGGACCTGCCTCTCGAACAACATGGCTCATCCGGGATGCGTTTGCGTGTCCAAGTGGACTGGGCCGACATGCAACGAGAAGATCCGGCCGCCGACGGTGGTGGCCGGCGAGGTCATCGACGACAACGACAAGGACGTGATTGTGTCGCCGGGTGACACGATTGTGCTGTACTTTGCGTTTACGTCCAACGGCGGCGGGTTTGGCAGCTCTGTGCTGAGCCGGGCCGATGTGGATGGACTGTTGGAGTTTGTGCCGCCGCTTGCCGGACCGGACGGCGACTACACGGGTAGGTGGATGGATCCCGGGGTGTACAGCGTGCTCAACATCTCGATTGTTGCGACAGGAGCAAGCGACGATGTGGTGGGCCCAAGGCCGAGGAGCTGGCGGTGCGTGTGATCGGGACGTCGTTCCTGGCGGGCAATGGGACGTCGTTCCCACCGGATCCGAACGTGGTGTTTGACAACTTTGTGGGCTCGTGGGGCACGGGCGCTGGAGTGCTTCCCGGCGAGTACCCAAGGCCGCAGCTGGAGGGCGTGTCGCCGTCGGTCTGTTCGCTTGCGGGCTGCACGATCACGCTGTACGGGAGCCAGTTTGTACCCGGATGCAGCGTGGGCATCGGCGACGAGCACTACGAGTTTGTCAGCCCGCGGCTGACGTATCACAACAGCAGCATGATGACTGTGGTGACGCCGTCGTACACCAGTGAGGGCTACCGGACGATCAATGTGACGAACTTGCGGAGTGAGGCGTCTGTGCTGGAGCGGACAATGTTTTTCACAGACGACTGTCCACAGCCCGGACAGTTTGGACGCGGGACGGCGTGTCGGACGTGTCCGACGGGCGCGTACTGCCCGGGCGGGTTCCGGATGTGGCCACTGCCTGGATACTGGAACCCGAACGAGAACGTCGGGTGGGTGGAGCGATGCCCGGAGCCCTCGACGGCACGATGCCTCGGCGGGGCGACGTCGGCGTGTGCAGCCGGATACACCGGCGATTTTTGCGCTGCTTGCGAGAGCGGGTACTTTAAGCGTGGCGGCGAGTGCGTATCCTGCGGTGCGGATACCAAGGGCATCTTTGCAGGTCTACTGTTAACGAACGCGGTCTTCTACGGCGCGTTCATTCTTGCCGCGCTTGTGGTGAAGGACCGGACACTGTCGACGTTGTCACGGGTGATCATCACGGTGCAGATGATTCGGGGAGTGGCCAAGATGAACGTGTCGCGGCTCTCACCCGAGCTGCGGACGCTGTACTCGTACTTTGCGCTCGTCACGATGGATGCCGAGTTTGTACGACCGGGATGTGTGGTCTCGTCTGTGTTTCCGGTGCTGTTCTGGGCCAACGCAGCGCTACTCGGGACGACCGTGGCTGCGGCTGTGCTGTTCATTGCGCTGGCCAAGTCTGTGACGCACTCGCACCGGTTCTACCGCAACCGAGTGGCACGAACGCTTGTGATTCTGCTGGCGATGATGTACCTCTCGCTGTCGACGTACATTCTGCGTGGTGGGTACTGCCTACCCGGGCGGGACGATCGGATGCGACTTGTGGCAGAGCCGTCGACGGTGTGCTACGAGGGCGGGCACTGGCCCGTGGCGATTGTGTCGTACGTGATGTTTGTGGGTATGTTGTGGGGTATCCGATTCTCGGGTTTGTGGGCGTGTGGCGCAACACGGCGCGGCTGTGGTCTGATCCGGTGTTCCGGTCGCGGTTTGGGTACTGGTACGAGCAGTTCAAGGAGGGAGCGTACTGGTTTGAGTTTCTGCAGTTTGGCATGTACGGCGTGCTTGCAGTGTGCGACTCGATTCTGATGCACGAGCCGGACATCCAGTTTGGGGTATCGCTGGCGACACTGAGCGTGTTTGGGATTGCCGTTGTGTCGACGCGGCCGTTCAACAGCGTGTGGAAGAACGCGATGGAGGCCGGGTTTACGGTCATCTCGATTGCGCTTGTGGTGCTCAACTACATGTCCGGATCGCTGTCGAACTCTGCGAACGACGTTGTTTCGACGGTGATTGTGTTTGCGTTTGTGGTGGGGATCAGCGGGCTGATTGTGATGGGAGTGGTGTACCTGTGCTTCAAGCGCAAGTCGAAGCAGTTGACGTTTGCGACGATTGTAAGGGCAGTGATCGCACAAACCGAGGAGCGTGCAGCCGGGCATGATCTCACGCACCAACCGGCGTCTGCCAAGGTGGACGAGCGGGTGCGCGGGCTGGCGCTGAAGATGCGGAGCCGACTGCGCGCACGCGGTGCGGCGACGTCTGCGGCCGTGATGCCGACGGTGTACGATGAAGCGGCGGTGAAGCAGGTGGGCAGCGGCTCGCGAAGCGGAAGCAGTGGCGGGGTGGAGCTTGACGGAGCAGACATGAGTGTGATGGCGGACGGCTGCGACAGAGGGACGTCCGGGCTATCGATGTCGAGCGGGTCGTCGAGCACAAGCGAGAGCATGTCCGACGTTGAGCAGTTCCTGCCACCGTCGGACGAAGGCCGGCTGACTGTGATGGCGTCCGCGTCGGAACCTTTGCAGCGAACGCCAGCGGCGCCGAGTTGAAGGATCAGCTGGCACCGCTGGACACGACGCCACCGCGCAATCCACGGATTGACCAGCTGGCGTCACCCAACTCGCAAACGAGTCCCGGACTGTCCGAGTCGTTGCCTACGGTTGGCGATGAGCTGACGACGTCGTTTGATGGACTCGACAACTCGGGGCTGATGTCGTCTGACGGAGCGGCGATGCTCAACCGGACGGCACCTGTGACGCGGACGCGGACACGTGTGCGGCGGTCGAAGACGCGGCGGAATGTGGTGGCGCCTGCGTCGCCGGCGACAGGCGATGGATCACGGACGATGTCGCCACCGCTTGCACGTGGAGCATCGTCGCAGGAGCTGCGGCGCAAGCCGTCGTCGGTTCGAGCCAAGCGACAGCTGGCGCTACACCGGTCTGTGACAGTGGGCAAGATGGAGCTCGAGTCGTCGATCGACTCGGCTCGGACGGCATCGGCCGAGTCAGGCGAGTCACCGAGGACCCCGCGACAGAACTCTGTGGGCCGGGCTGCAACGGTGAGCCACGGCCTGGTGCGGCGGCGGACGCGGAAGCGGATCCGTGCGACGACAAACTCCCCCAATGCCTCGCGTGGTGAGACTGTCTCACCGGGGTCACCACTCACCATGGTCTCGCAAAAGGTGTCATCGCCACTGGCGTCGCCATCGCCATCACGGCGACCGACTCGGTCGATGTCGCGAAGCCGCGCACAAACCATGGCCAACGGCGATGCGGCCGGCGCGGTGGCGTCGCCGCGCGCCCGCGCTGGTACCACGTCGGAACGGGTCTTGCACCGTACCGGATCGCTCCGGCGTGGCGTTTCCTTCCGTCGCCCGCCACCCCCACTCCCCGAAGCAAGCTAGCGTAAACTTTTAGCTCTGGTACGACCATACCCATCGATGTACACCAGGAGATGCTGGAGTGGTGCAAGATGCGGCGTTCGAACGAGTGCTGCGCGAGCAAATAGCAGAGGCGTTTTTCGACCGAGGCAGCAGGGAATTTGCAGTGACGCCCAGCCACACCTTTCTGCTCGTTGCTCGTTTGGGCAGTTTGGGCGGTTTGTGTGGCGAGGAAGTCGAGGACAGAGCAGAGAGAGAGAAAGAGAGAGGAAGAGGGAGAGAGGGAGGTAGTGTGAGCGAGTATGGCGTGTGCAGGGGAAGATGGAGACCGGCCTAGGATTGGAGGCTTTGTCCGGCCAAGCTCGTCGTACTGGGAGCCGACAGAGGAGCGGGAGGCCTTGGCAGGACGACTGGTGGCCGAGCTGGAGTCTGCCGGATACGATGTGGACGAAGTGACGGCGTGGAGGTTCCTCATTGCGCGAGAGTGGAATTATGAAAAGGGCAAGCAGCTGCTGATTGATGACATTCATTGGCGCGAGGAGCATCCAGAGCTGGTGGATGTGGATGATGATGAGATTGTAGAGGAGCTGGAGAGCAACAAGGCCTTTCTTCATGGATTTGATAGCCTGGGCAGGCCGATCATGGTGTTTATTCTGCGGAGGCACGACAAGAACACCCGCGATCTGGACCACTCGACAAAGTATGTGATGCGGCAGATTGCGCGCGGCATTCGGACGGCCGAGCAACACGGCCAGTTGCAGTTCTCGGTCGTCCTTGATCGCTACGACACCGGCCGGGCCAACTCGGACACCACCATGGTCCGCAGCCTGATGGCCATTCTCTCGGATCACTACCCGGAGCGGCTCGGCACCGCATACGTGCTGTATCCAAACTGGCTCTTCTCCATTGCCTACCGTATCGCCAAGGCCTTTTTGCCTAAGCGGACCATGGACAAAGTCCTGCTCTTCTCGGGCGACACGATGTTTGACGAGTTACACCAGTACATTGCACCGGATCAGCTGCAGCCGGCGTACGGCGGCACGTCGAGCTACGAGTACACGTTTGCCAATGAGGCAGCCGAAGACGCTGTCCGCTTTGGCTCGGCTTCGGGAGCCGCTGGCGAGAGCGCGGCCTACCTTGCCGACTACGGCTGGTCGGACACCGCCTCGGCCGTCTTTTACACCGCCACCGAGGCGTCGTGCGACTCGATCCCGAGTGACTTTGACGACGAGCTCGAGCTCAACGCCGGGCCCAACGGGCGGTCTGCAGGCGCAAGCCCGGAAGTTGCCGCCCGGGTGGCCGAGCTCGAGGCCGAGGCCGCGGCCTATGAGTCCAAGCTCGACGTCGTCACCGCCCGCATCAAGCGCCTCGACGCCCGCATCCGCAACACCCAGGCGACGCTGGCCCAGGCTCCGGCCAAGAAATCGTGCTGCGCCATCCAGTAAAGCTAGACCAGCGATCGGACCAGGCTTCGCGCTGCGAGCAGAGCCATTGGGATCATGGCGGGAGCGCCGACGGCGAGGACGAGGCCGGAAGAGACAAGCGAGGCCTTGCCGTAGGCATCGGGCGCGTCGGATGGTGGAGCCACGAGTGAAGCTTGTCCGCCGTCGGGCTGGCGCGGATCAAAGAACGTCTCTACACCAACCATCGGATTGGTGGCCGCGCCCGTCCGGGCAACGACCATGCCGGGCACCACGTACGCCAGTTGGCGGAAGCGCGGCGAGAAGCCGTCGTTGCTCTCGTACCGTAGCGTCGGCACAAGAGCGTCGATGCCAAAGATGAGGCCCGATGCAAGCGGAGGAAAGACGAGAACGGCCGGAAGCAGGACGCGTGCCGCCCACGAGAGGCCGAGACGGACCGGGGCGGCTCGGGCGGCGGCGGCGAGCGAGGCCGGGCCGCGGGCAAGGATGAACGGCGAGCCGATGAGCGAGCCGAGAGCGGCCGAGAGTGCGCCAGCGAGAACCAAGGCGCCAGCATCCACCGCACGCGTCATGCGCGCCGCCGGCGACAGTGCCGGCTCGCGCGCCAGTGCCCGCAACGTCACTAGCCGGCGTGAGCCATTGGCAAGATCCTCGGTCCATGTCCTCGACGCAATGCTCTCCGGCAGCGCCCATCGGCCTGTTGGATCGATATCAGGCGAGCAGAGGCGAGCGTGTGCTTCTGCAGCCAGGATCGGAACGCCAGCAGCCACAAGCGTCTCTACCTTTGTGTCAACGATCTCTCTTGCCTCAGACTCGTCCAATCGCTCTGCCGACGTCTGCATCATTCGGGCGTCGCTCGGCGGGAGGAGCGGCCGTGAGGGACGAGCAGGTGGGGTAGCCGGATTGCGCGGGACGAGAAACCAAGCAAGAATTCCTCCTGCTCCTCCTCCAGCGGCGGCATATGTGAGTGTCGCCCGGAACATGGTGGTGTGATTTGGGTGGGTCTGGCCAGCGTCGGGTGTGCGGTGGCGGTGGTGGGGAGTTGAGCAGCAGCTGCTGCCAGAGGGAAGGGATCCCTCCTTCACCGCGGGGAGGAGGGAAGAGGGGGGGGTGGGTGGGGGGCAATTACTATGATGAACACTGATAGTGTGACGGGGGGATCTGCAGGTTGGTCATGGGACGTTTGGTTTGTTGGATGTTGATTGATGATGCTCATGCGCGTACGGATACGATAAAGGAGCGTGGTTGTGCGTGGTTACGCGTGGTTGTGCGTGGCTGCGCGATGAACGGTGTACGGTGTGCGGCAGGATCACGAGGACGCGAGGGTCTTCTGGCGCTTGCTGGGGTCTTGGCCTAGGGCAGGGGCGTTCTCCGGCTCGGGCTCCAGTGCCCGCTTGCGGGAGGCGTCGTGGGGGTTGGCGCCTGTTGCGGCGGCAGCGGCGTGGATGCGGGCCTGGACCCTTGCCTGCTCAGCGGCAGCTGCGGCGGGATCCTGAGGCGGAAACTGCTGCTGGTGCTGCGGCGGCATGGCGTGGGCTTGGTGCGCAGGATGCGCTCCCGGATACGGGCTCGGGACAGGATAGGCGGCCGCAGGAGGGGGACCAGCCATATGCGGGGGGTAGTGTGCGGGGTGGATCTGTTGCTGGGGATGGATGGGCATGGCATGGCCACCGGGAATGGACATGGGCATGTGCATGCCCGGGTGCGGCGGGTGCTGCATCATGTGATGCGGCGGCGGATGCTGCTGCATGAGGGGAGCCATGTGCGGATGTGGTTGATGAGGATGGAGCGGATGGCCATGAGCCGGAGGACCACCAAGACCCAAGACATGCAGCGGGACCATAGGCGGCGGCGGCGAGTCCCAATCCTTGGGCGCCACAAACTCCTCGGGCGGAGACCCGTGCCTCATGTTGGGCGGTGGAGTATCGAAGACGGCTTTGACGGCAATGCTAGCCGAGAGAGCCTTGAGTCTGGGCACCTCATCCAGCAACTCTTGGTAGTACTGCCGCACCACATCCGTATGCCTCCATCCGGTGTTGTGCGAGATCCGTTCACTCGCCGTCCCCCGCACCAGGAACTTGTCGCAGTAGTCGCAGCTGTGTGTATGGGAGGGGGGAGGGGGTGAGTGGGGAGGGGGGAAGGGGGGGGGTGGGTGGGAGGGAGGGAGGGGCGTAGGGCGTACTAGTACTTGGGCATGGGAAGAGTGTGGGTATGTGTGTGTGTGTGTGTGTGGTGTGTGTGTGCGTATGGGTGGAGTGGTGTGTGTGTGAGTGTGCGTGTCGGTGCGGGAGTGGGACAGGGAGGGGTGGGGAGAGTGGGTGGGATCGGTTGGCGGCGGCGAGTCGCTGTGCGGCTGGGGGAAGGGAATGTGGAGACGAGGTGGGGGAACCGAGTGATCGGGTGATCGGGGACGGAGTGATGAGTAGCAAGAGGACCACGACTAGGAGTTTCGGCTTTGGGTTGCGGGGGTAGAGGTCCCGGATGGCTACACCATAGGGTGCTCGGGCGACATGGTGGCGAGGATGAGCGGGACGGCGACGGCGTAGATGGCGAGGATGACGGCGACCGAGGTGTGCCATGCCGAGGAGAGATAGGCCGGGGCGACCGGGACCGAGGTGGCGTCGCAGGCGGCGATGAGGATGGGGATCGACTCGGCGAGGAGAACGAGCGGGACGTAGACCCAGACACCGTTCATAAAGGCGAGATAGACCCAGGTGAGGACCGGATGATGGGTCCGGAGCGAGGGCGAGCCTGCGATCCATTCGGGGATGAACGTCATGCCGCCGCCGTACAGCTCCATGACCGAGATGACAACCTGCCAGACGTGGCGATCAGCGCGTCGGGTCCAGATGGCCCAGCAGAGCCAGGCCGCGAGCGGACCGGCGATAAAGACTGTGAGTAGCTCAAGAGCAGCCACTCCTGGGTCGTTGCCAGCCCATCGGGTGTCTGCCTTGCCGTACTCTACCCAGATGGAGGCGGCCCAAGAGTCAGAGCTCGCCGCCCCGCCAGGCACTAGCAGCGCGTAGTACAGGTACGAGGCCTCAAGGACCAGATGCGTCACTGCGTCGAGTGCAAACCAGATAAGCGCAACCACGTCTGCCCACGGCAGTCGCGCCGCTCGCTGAGTGGCGGTCAGAGGCATAGATGAGATGAGTGTGTGGCGAGGGCGACGAGAGAGTGGCGGTGGGGCGGGCGGGCGGCGGAGCGAGTCGAGGCCGGCGTGTAAGCAACTCGGCGGCTCGGAGGCTTGGCGGCTTGGCGGCTTGGCAGTTTGGTACAACGAGAGCGAGTTTAGAGGAAGTAATCCGGGGTAGCCTTTTTGGCTGGCGAGCCGCGCTGGTCAGCAGGCGCGGCGGAGAAGATGAGAAAGTTCTTGTTGAGGTTCTCATCAAACTCGAGGATGGCAGCGACGTTGCCGCAGCGGTAGCAGTAGTTGGGAGCGGACCAGACGGTGATGAGTGACTGTGAAAACATGGCCTTGTAGCCTTCCATGACCAGCTGGTGGGCGCGACAAATGAGGCTGAGGTCGTTGGTGTGGTTGAACTGCGAGACAACGTCGGCGCCAAAGATGTAGCCTGCGCCGCGCGGCGAGAGGCCCCACCCGTCCACCTGCTCCTCAGGGTCCGACCACATGAGGTCACACATGGCGCCGTCATGCGGGACCTCTTGCTTGCGGTCGAGCAGCCGGATCTGATCCAATGTGTTGAGCGACGGCGAGAGGCCACCGTGGACGGCAAAGATCTGGCCCTCGATGAGCGCAGAGAGCGGGAGGTAGTCAAAGATCTCCGTGCAGTACCGCCATGCCGAGACCGAGCCGAACTTGCGGAGGCACTCGTCGTAGAAGCCGTAGACCTGGGTGATCTGCCGCGACTCGTGGTTGCCGCGAAGAAGCGTCATCCGATCCGGGTACCGCACTTTGAGCGCCAGCAGCAGCAGGAAGGTCTCGACCGAGTAAAAGCCACGATCCACAAAGTCGCCCATGAACAGATAGTTGGTCTCCGGGCAGAGTCCGCCCACCTTGAACAGCTCCTTGACGTCGTAGAACTGACCATGGACGTCACCACAGACCTACACCCTCCCGCCCCGACCACGTCCACCCCCCCCCCCCCCCCCCCCACCCTAGTCACAGGCATACATATAGTTATACACGCAGACAGACATGGACCATACATGAGTGCGTATCCGTGCCCCCCCGCCTCCCCTGCCCCCCCTGCCCCCCTGCCCCCCTGCCCACACCTGGGAGGGGACACCTTCCCTGCCTTTGGTCACCCGCACCGCCACACGCACCGCCACACGCATCCGCACCCATACCCACACACCTGCCCACGCACACCCACGCACTCACTGTCATACTACCATCACCTCCCTCCCTCCCCTTCCCTCCCCTTCCCTCCCCTTCTTCCTCCCCCCCCCCCCCCCCCTGCCTCAGCCAGGCAGGATGACCTCCTCGCCTTGTCACGTACGGTCACAGGGGCATCGACATTCTGCACATTGGCCTCCTCCACAAGAATCTCACGAGCCTTGGCACACAGTGTCTTCACTTCGGACTCTCGAAGGTGCTCACAGTTGAGCAGTCGCTCAATCTGCCGGTCAAGCTCGGACATGCTGGCCGAAGCTGGTGAGTGGGGTGGGGTGACCGGGAGGCTGACGGCTAGCGGCTGGCCGACTGGGGCCACCTGGCAGACACCCTGGCACCAGGTACACTGGCGCGCATGATGCGTGTGGACCAGCTGATGGGGGAGCCGGCAATTGCGGCGCAGCAATAGTGTTTATGAACGATGGTTGGGCGGCATCGTATTCATGAGGCGGTGATGACCGTGGCGGCCGCTGGGGCGTGGTTGGGCGGGCAGCTCATGATCGGCTGCGCTCTGGCGCGATCCATCGGATCAGGCGGCGACGCGGATGCAGACCTCGATGCCGTCTTCGTCCTTGGAGTACTCAAGATGTGAAGCATGGAAAGTTGTGCTCCACTTGTCGGAGGCGCGGACGTACTCCAGAAAGTCGGGCGCGCCCGGGAAGATGACGTTGTCAGCCACGACAACGGCGCCTTCGGGAAAGAGGCCGAGGCTCTCGCCGAGCATGAGATCGGGCTTGTACGCGCCCTTGACGTGGTCAAAGAAGAACAGGAGCTTGCCCGGCGAGGCGTCGGAGTCGAGCCCGAGCTCGACACGGATCTTGTTGAGGAGAGAGGGAAAGACGTCCGAGGCGGTGCCCTCGAGCCAGACAATGCGATCCGAGACGCCGGCATGGGCAAAGACCCGCTTGGCCACTGCAGCGCGACCAGCATGCGGTTCGATGGAGAAGATCTTGGTAGTGGCCGGAGTCCGCGAAGCGAACCGCAGCGCCGAGTACCCGCAGTACATCCCGAGCTCGATGATGACGTCAGGTGCGGCTTCCGCGACGGCAGCGTCCACGATCTGGCCCTTTTCATCGCCGACATTCATCATCCACTGTCCGGCCCAGCAGTAGGCATCGATAGCGTCGACCGTCGCCCGTGCGTCCCCACGAATCTCGTCCAGGCTCTCGATGTGCGCCGCAAACGCCAGCTCGCGCGCCAGCTCGTTGTTCTCTGCAGAAGTAGTGCTCATGGTGTTGATTGGTTACGTTGAGTGTATGGTCAATTGGTTGGTCTCTGTGTGGCTGTCCTTGGTCGCGGTCACTTGCGGCGGATTGCGGCCCTGGTTTTGTCAGGTGCCGCGTCGCACATGCTGCCGCTGCGAAGGAATTCATTTCTTCCCGACAACAATGGACCCAATCGCTGCAACCGTTGACTGCGCCACAACAGGGCGAGCACTTTACACGCACTGGCCATGTCGCCGCCTACAGCGGCAGAGTTACGCCACTCCATCGCCACTGTCATCAGATCCGGAGTCGTCGGATCCCGAGCCCGAGCCCGAGCCCGAGCCAGCTGCCGAGCCCGAGCCCGAGCCCGAGCCAGCTGCCGAGCCCGAGCCCGAGCCCGAGCCCGAGCCAGCTGCCGAGCCCGAGCCAGCTGCCGAGCCCAAGCCAGCTGCCGGGTAATCGCCCGAACCACCGCTGGCCGAACTGTCTTCTGACTGGCCACCATGACTTGCATCTAGATCGCCATCATCCGACCGGCCACCGTCAGAATCGCGGGAGCTTCCGCTACCAGAGCCACTCCCAGAGCCACTCCCAGAGCCACTCCCAGAGCCACTCCCGGAGCCACTCCCGGAGCCACTCCCGGAGCCACTCCCGGAGCCACTCCCGGAGCCACTCCCGGAGCCACTCTGGGTGCCACTGCCGGCACCGCTCGGGAAGCGGGAGATCTCCTCACCAGACGGGCCGGCGTCGGCGAGACTGACCTGGAACGCCTCATCAGCTGCCCGCTCCGCATCGACAAGCGCGCGGGCGAGCGTGATGTCACGGCCCATCGATGGGTCCGATCCGACAAGTGTTGATCTGACCTGCGTGGCGTCGTCCCGGGACACCGGCGACTGTCGCGGGTGCAGTGCGTACGGCATGCTCATCTTGCGCAGCGGCTGCGCCGCCCGCAGAGCCTCGTGCCGCATGTGCGGCCGCGACCGCGATCGGATCAGGCTCTGCGTAAGCGACACCATCGACGACCGCCGCTTCGCCCGGACCGAGGTGAGGAACTTGCGCGGCTCCTGCATCGGCCGCAGTGACCGCTTAACAAGCAGCACGTTGATCGAGTCAAAGAGCGAGGTAGCCGCATCAAACATGCCCTCGTCGGCTTCCTCCAGCGCAAGCATGCTCACCAACGAGCCCGAGGCAAGTAGACCTGGCGGCCCAACGCTGGCCGCCTGCTCGCCCTCGCTCTCGGTTCCGCTCGAGACAAACGATTCACCGTCCTCATCCCCACTGCCCAGCCCGAGCTCGTCCTTGGACATGTTGATCGAGTCGATGAGCTCGAGCTCGGTTTGTGTCGACCTCAGCGGAGCCGCCACCGGCGCAGTGCCCTCGCTCGCATCCCCACCGCCTGCTTCGGCCGACCGCGACAAGCTCATCACCGTCTCTTTCTCCACAGCCATGATCTCTTCGCAGAGCTTGGTCAGCTTCTCCGACAGCAGCCGCGCAGCAGCCTGCAGCTCGGCCGCGCCGTCGTTCGGCTCGACCTCGGCAATGGCTGCCGCCGGTGGAATGACTGTGTTCACCACTCCAGGCATGATGTCGTCGAGGTTGCCAATCGTGCTCATCATGCCCGCGACAAGCGTTGACTGCGCGCTCGAGTCCGCTCGTGTTCCGATGTCCAGTAGCAGCTTCAGCAGCGCGTCGACAGACTGCTGCATCTTGCCCACACCTTGCGACGCCACCGTCAGTCGCTCGTGCGCGAGCTGGCGCTCGCGATCCTCCTGCTCCAGCAGCGCACACGACGCTTCCTCAAAGTACTGCTGGAAGACCGTCATGGTCTCGGCCACTCGCCGCCTCTCCTCTTCAAGTGCAGTCGTCATCATCCGCAGCTCGCCCGGTGAAAGCTCACCGTTGTCAAACTCGCCTTCGCTCTCGCTCTCGCCCGCAATCGCGCCTTCGGCGCCCTCACTCGTCACCAGCAACAAGCCCGGCGTCTGCTTCAGCGGCGTTGACACAATGCCGCTCTGCGGCACCGGTGGCAGTAGCTCGCAGCTGACGTCTGTCTCCATGCTCAGTCCGCCGTCACCGTCATCGCCTCCAACCCGCATCACAGACTCCATGTCAAAGCAGCCGCACAGCTTGGCCTCGACGCCCACGCTCACTTGCTCCATCCCGGCGTCGGCGGGCGGGGTGTCTGGCAACACAATTTCGGCCTCACCGAGCTGTGGCAAATGCTCTTCCATCGCGCGCTCGTGCAATAGCGCCACATGCTTTGCGAGTGCCGCGTTGTGGATCGCAGCCGCAGCGTACGACGGCTCGTCATTCGTGTCAGACGCCGCGTCGCCGAGTGCCGCTTCCAGCTCGCCAATCTGCTGCCGCAGCACATGTTCATCGGTGTCCACAGGCAGCTCACTCTCTGGCACGCCACTAGCCCACGCCCCGAGCTCGTCTGCCAGCACAGCAGACTGAGTCGCCAGCGCTGCCTGCCGCTCCGCCGCCCCACTTGCCTGGCGGACCTGCAGCTCGGCGCCGAGCATCCGCGCACGCGAAGAGAGCTGGCGGCAAACGAGCGTCTCGGCATGGTCCGGTCCCTGACGACGGCTGCGCGCCATCTGCACCTGTCGCAACAGCTGCTCGTTGTGGCGGGTCAAGGCAGCGATGCGGCCGGTTGTCCGACCCCGCGCCCGCGCCTCTGCCAGGCTCGACGTCAGGTCACGGACCTGGGCCCGCAGCTGGTGGGTCGCCGTGTCGCCGGCTTTGGGATGTAGCTCCAGGAGTTGCATCTCCTCGCTCAGCGCTGCCGAGTGGTACCGAATCGCCGGACCAATATCGCCTGTCTCATCGAGCACCAGAGCTTCGATCTGAGTCGTCATGGCGGCAAGCTGCTCGCGGAGCACAGTGTTGATCTCCGCTGCCGCCTGTGCGGTCGACGTCGCGGTGCCCTCACAGCTCGCCTCGTTCCCATTACAATCGCGCACCGCAAGTGGCGGTAGGTCGACCAAGTTGACTTGCACAGCCTTGGACTCGGTTCCGACTCGCCTGACGGTCTTGACCCGTCGCCGGGTCCGTGACTTGGTCGGCGATGGCGACGGCGTCGGTACCAGTTCGGGCGCTGGCGGAGGCACGGCTGAGCCTTCAGTCGTCCCACCCACGGCCGACCGTGCGGGGGGTTCTGCGTCGTCGTCGGCCGCAAGCTCGCGCATAGCTGCCACAATCGCGCCGATGTCGCCAGTCTGCGCAAGCATAATGTCGGACGCAGCCTTGAGTGGGTTACCAAGCAGCGAAAGCTCCTTGAGTTTGTGCAGCGATCCGAGCTCGAGCGGAATGGCCTCCAGGGTGTTGAACGATATGTCGAGCGTGATGAGGCTCTTGAGCGCAACCGTCCACGGGGGAAGCTTGCGGAATCTATTAGCCCCGAGCTGGAGGCCGCGAAGCCGAGTCAGATACGCCATCGATGGCGGCAGCGTCTCCAATGCATTGCCACGGCAGTAGAGCCACTCTAGCGACGGGAGCTTGTCAAAGACGTCCGGCAGCGACCGCAGTGCGTTGTGGTTGAGGTTGAGTCGCGTGAGAAACGAGAGCTCACCAAAGGCGACCGGAAGCTCGGTCAGCATGTTTGACGCGAGGTTGAGATCCTCGGCGTGCTTGATGAACACAATGAGGCTCGGCTCGAGCTTGGCCAGCCCGTGGCTGCGGAGCGAGATCTTCCCTGTCTGGACCGACATCGCTGCATCAAGCGTGGCGTACACCTTGTCTCGCGACTTGTCGGCCACTTTGCCGCCCGACAGCACCCGCCGTCGCTTGGCCATCTCGGCGGAGAACCGTCGCCTTGCTCGCCCGGCAGCCAGCTTCCACTCGTGATGCTGCGGATGCAAATGTGACGAGACCGGAAGCCCGCCAGCATCGTCCGCAACATCACCGGCGCCCTCGCGGCTCTTCTGCGGCGAGCGGCCGGGCGATACGCTTCCGCCCATGGCTCTGATCCACATCACGACCTGCGACTCGCGAGTAGCTCCGCCACAGCCTCTGGCATCGTCCGGTGCTTGCCCACCCCCCACCCGCGCCTGCGCCCGCGCCCGCACTTGAGCCGCCACCAACACCGACAGAACCGACGCCACCAACAGCACTGACGGTACGGCGAGTCTTCTTGTAGCCCTGCATACTCTGTGAGCTGTTGTGAAGCTCGCTCCGACCGCTCCGCTTCCTCCGACCGCTCCGCTCGCTCCGCCGCCGCTTGCCCGCCAGCTCGCTGCGTCGCGAGCTGTGGCGGTGCGAACGGGAGCGCTGTTGATGCTCTCCACTCGGGCTCTCGTCGTAGACGTCATCCCGGGCCCGAGCAGTACGCGACTGTGTGTGGGACATGGACATGACGTGGCCTCGTGGAGACGAGTGGCACGCCCTGCCTGCGCGAACGCTCGCAGTTGGCGGCGGTCGGGGCCCGAGCGGTTCGTGGCGCTGCACAAAGCGCGATGATGGGGATTCGTTTTCATTCCGGCTACTTGTCTTGCGCTCACTCGCAAAGACACAACACAGAGGCACGCGCATCAGTCGTCATCAGACGACGAGTCGTCGTCGGAGGACTCGGCCGTCGCTATTGCGAGCGCCGAGTCGCGCAGCTCGGCCGGGACGAGCTGGTGGCGGCCGCCTGAGGCGCGGCAGACCCACGAGAGCTCAAGCTCGTACTCCTTGTCCTTGTCCGAGTCGTGGACAGAGTGAATCATCTTGGCGATCTCAACAACAGCCTCCTCACAGGTCATCGACTCGAGGTCAAGCTTCTCGATGTCGGTCTTGCACGCGGCCTTGCCCTTGCCGACGGCAACGCCAAAGTAGCCGTACGCCTCGCCGGACGGCTGGATCATGTACAGCTGCGGGCCCGCGGCCTCGGTCCACGAGCCGAGGAGCAGGGCACAGCCGAACGGGCGCACACCGCCGTACAGCGTGTAGACTTGCGCAAACGAGGCCAGCCGCTCAGTGAGGACCTTGACCGAGATCTCCTCGCCGTACGTCGACTTCCACGCGTTTGCCTCCTGGTTACCGCGGTTGATGAGCGCCCGTGCGTCGGCCACAAGGCCCGACGACGCGACTCCAATGTGCCGGCCAATGGTCGACACCCGACGGTTCGAGCCGTGCAGGAGCATCGGCGAGATGAGGAGCTTCTCCACCCCAAACACCACCCCATCCGAGACGCGAATGCCCACCGCAGTGCCCGAGTTGTCCACAGCCTTGGACGCGTACTCCACCTGGAACACCCGCCCGTCCGGCGAATACGTCGTCGACGAGAGGTCGTACTACACATTCCCACAGCATCCGCATCACATCCCGCATGCCCACCCTCGTCCCCTCGTTAGTCCTTTCCCTCTCTATCCCGCGTGCCAGACCGAGTGCGACCTGTCGGCCGAATCGGCCGCACCCGCCGAAAGACCTCGCCAGCTGCTCCCCTTCCCCCCTCCCCTCCCCTCCCCTCCCCCATCCCCCCCATCCCCCCCATCCCCCCCCATCCCTCCCCCCTCCTCCCCCCCCACTACCATTTCCTCCTCCAACCCCTCATTCTTTCCTCCCACACTTCCCCAGCGTTTGCCGAGGTAGCCACGTTCTTCACCGAGCAAGTGTGAAACGGGAGCGACCTGCCACCAAAGCCCAGCCAGCCAGCCAGCCAGCCAGCCAGCCAGCCAGCCAGCCAGCCAGCCAGCCAGCCAGCCCACTCGCCCCCCCCCCCTCCCTCCCTCCCTCCAAACCCATCCAACTCATGCACAGCGTACCCCAGTTCCAATAGAAGACATGGTGAGAGAGGAGAGAGCGGTGCCAATGGCAATGGTAGCGCGGCCAGTGCGAAAGCTCACCTCCTCTCGCACTCGCTCACCTCTTCCTCGACCTGGCTGCTCCTTTGGTTGATACTCTGGTTGTCGCTTTGGCTTTTTGACAATGATCGGCCAATGATCGGTCAATGACAGTCATTGGGCTTCGTCTTGGACCATTCATTCGCACTGTGGCACGCTTCTCGCTTGAATTCACCTGAAACATGGCGTCGACTTGCCACGGCTGCACGCAGGCTCTGGAGGGGGCGTACGCAATAGGGAGGAGAGGAAGGAAGGGGGGAGGGAAGGGGGAAGGCAGGGGGGGGGGGGGGAGGAATGCGGAGAAGGGGGAGGAGGAGGGGGAACAGGCATATAGCTTACATGTGATGGACGTGGTGGTGATGGCGGTGGCGGTGGCGGTGGCGGTGGCGATGATCGGTGGCCGGGGCTCTCTGCTTGTTACGCAGATACATCACGGCGCTGGACGCCTCGTGGCACAATGAGTGCTTCAAATGCGGACACTGTGGCAGTCAGTTTGCATCGGGCCAGTTTACTGTGGCCGATGGCAAACCGTTTTGCAACGTGGCCTGCGCCAACGGGAAGGACTCGCTGGCGTGTGCTGCCTGCGGCGAGCCGGCAACCGAGGGCGCGGTGGTGACGGCTGGGGAGGATACCTACCACAAGGCATGCTTTGTCTGCCGGACGTGCTCGGCGGAGCTGGGCGTGTCGTATGTGACGTCGGCCGGGCGCAAGTTCTGCAACCAGACGTGCTTTGAGAACGCACCCGAGATGACGCCCGAGGAGATCAAGTCCAAGGCTTCCGAGGTCACCGACAGTGGCGTCAAGCCGATTCAGAAGCTCGAGCCCATCGCCCTTGCCGGCGTCTCATCTGATGCCGAGGTCGCCCAGCTCGCCGCCGCCAAGGCCGCCGAGGTCGAAGCGGCCGGCGGCGACAACAGTCTCGCAGCCATGCGCAAGAACATGCTCGCCGACGCGCTGGCTAAGGAGCAGGAGCAGGAGCAGGCGCAAGCTTAGACAGATTGTTCACAACCATACAACCATACAACTACTACCTACTACCATCTTGTTAAATCTCGCACCATCATGACCAGGCTCATGACTACTACCACCACCACCACCACCACCGGCCACAGTCGGCCGACCGCCACCCCACCGGCAGAGACTACACGTCGCTCGCCGCACGCCCAATACCCAACTCCCAGCCTCCTCCCTCCCCCCCCCCCCCTCCCCCCCATACACGCACAGGTGAAGAAGCCATGGCAAACAAAGAGGACGACACGGTCCAGCGGGAGATGGTCAAGGTGGTGGCGGACATGATGCGGTCTGCCGGCGACTCGGCGACGTCCGACTCGGAGGCTGTGGAGCTGATGCTGGACATTGCCCGCAAGTACATGCTGCAGCTGTTGAACAAGGCGGTAGGCACAGCTCAGCGGAATGGTGCAAGCAAGGTCTCGGTCGACGACGTGGTGTTTAGCACCCGTGGTGAGCCGGCTGTCCACGCCCATGTGGCCTTCTTTCTCGACGCCAAGACCGCCAGGTCGCAGGCCGAGAAGGCTGGCCCGGGCGACGGTGATGGCGGCGACGGGGACGGTGACATGGCACTGGGTGACGACGATGACGACGACGATGAGGCTGATGTCGGTGACGACGGCGAGAGCGAGGCTGATGACGATGGCGAAGACGACGACGACGAGGCCGAGGACGACGACGGCGGACACGAGTTGGTGACCGAGGAGATGGCCCAGAAGAAGGCTGCAGCGCTCGCTGCTGCACACAAGTCGCAGCGCAAGCGCAAGCGCAACACCCATACACTCATGTCGTTTGTGTATCAGCTCCCGCGGGACGCGCTCGAGTACACTGGCGTCCACCCCGACAAGATCGAGGCGAGCATCGACCGGGCGCTCGACATCCGCCACCTGTACCACCGCAAGCGGCTCAAGCAAGATGTCGAGCTGACCGAGGACCTCTCCAAGGAGGAGTACTTTGAGTTTGCCGACTCGCGCAAGCAGTCGTTCTTCCGTGGCAGCCGGGAGCGCAAGCGTAACTTCCGGACCTGGCTCGCGCTCGCACGGTTTGGTATCAAGATGACCGATCCTGCGCTCGAGCTGGTGGCCCACCTCGGCCGTGAGCGGGTCCGCGACGTCACCCTCCTCGCGCTCGATGTCAAGGCTGTGGCCGACGCCGCAGCGGTCA